AGCCGGAAGGTGGGGTTCCTCTTCTCAGCGTTCCAGTCCTCTGAAAAAAACCAAACCCACTGTCATGATCAAGGTGCCTGTGGTGCAGACCTGCTCCGGGGAGTTTCTAAACTGGAAATCTTTATCGAAGGAGAACAGCCACTTTTCCAAATTTTTTCCCTCCTGTGGAACGGCTAGTGGACTCATGCCCATCTTTTGGTTGGTAGTCCAATGCTTAACCCACTACAGGCCTTAAAGATGCGGAGCCATTTCCCTGCGGGCCCCCACCCCGACCCCTTGCTTACTCTCCATCAGGCGCATAGAAAAATCCAGCTTCTCCTCAGATAGCACCGTGGTCCGGAAGGGCACCCAGGTGGGCAGGACGGCCTGGCTGCTCACGTTGCCCTGCCTGGGAGAGGAGAAACAGCTGCAGCCCACACCTGCCTTCCGCATCACACCAGCTGGCCCCAACTGGGAGGATGTCTCACGCCTGCCCCGCGGCAGAGCCCGCAGCTGCAACCAAGCCAGCGGTCTAAGCCTGAGCCTTGACCTTCCAGAATGGCTGCTTCCACCTGCAAGGGATCCAACTCTGGCTCCCTGGGGTGGCAGGTGGGCTGCAGCAGGAAGAGGGCGACATCTGGAGTCAGACGTTTGGTTCCCAGACACCCCCCTCCTCTGCTCTTTGCTGACTGGCCCTGGAGACGCCAGGTCTGGAGTGGGGTGTTTCCTGAGGCAGCGGCCGCTGGCCCTTTGCCCCTCAGGATTCTGGGACTCTCAGCTCCTAACTCACTGCCATCAAGCCAATGTTGACTCAAAGCTACCCTTCTAAGGACAGGGTAGAACTGTCCCCCGTCAGTTTCCAAGACTAACTGTTGACAGGAGTAGAACGCCTCATCTTTCTCCTTCAGAGAGGTTGGTTTCAAACTGCCGACCCCTTGCGGATCACAGCCCAATGCATCACCCAGGAGGCCCACCAGGGCTCCTTCGACTAAGGCAGCCAGATCCCCAAGGTAGTCTGGAGAATCATACTAGACCCAGGAAGTCCCACCAGACAGAGCGCAGTGGCCGCAGCCCCAGACAGCTGGCAGTCAGCTCTAAGGAGGCTTTGAGTCAGAGCTATGGCAGGCCTTGTCCTTCACCGACCTGGGATAGTGGCACTCGATGGGGACCTTGGCGGGGTCAGTCCTCAGGATGTACAGGTTCCCCACCGGGCGGGGTCTGTGGAGCAGGAAGGTGCTGTACACCAGGGCATCGCCGGTCACCTGAAGGAAAGACCAGGGTTAGTCACCGGGGCCATGTGCTCATGGTGTACCTGAAACCCAGGTGGGGGAGGGAGGACAGTCCAGGCTCGGGAACCTACCCCAGCACTCCTGACCTAGACGAGGTGCCATCTCATCCCTCAAGTTCTTCCCCTTGGAATGATGACACAAATCCGAGAGCCCCTCTTGGTAAAGTGCTAGCCTCTTCAAGCAGCGCCGATGACTGCACAGGTCTAGATGCCCCCTTCTCATGGTTACCACCGTGTCTTCCCTTTCAGAGATGGCTGAGGGCCAAGAGAGCGCATTCCACGGAGGGAAGCTGAGAAAGTAGCTGCCCAAGACCGGAGAAGCACAGGCAGGTACTGCTGGCTCAGGAGGGGCCACACCTGGCCCTGCCCTGACTGGCCCCGTCTTCCAGTTCTCTGCAGCATCTTGGCTTTCTTCTAGCAAACTCTCCAGGTGCCTAACTGGGGGGAGCCTATGGCAGAGATGAAAACGTGGAGGCCTTTGTTCAAGAATTAAGAATTTTGAGACAGTGGTAGCAGAACCTGAATCCAGGTCTGTCGTACAGCAAGGAGCCCGAGGGGGCATTGGGAGGGTTAAGCGCTGGGCTGCTAACCACCAGGTCAGCCGTTCAAACCTCCCGGCTGCTCTGTGGGAGATTCTTTGCTCCTGGAAGAGGGACCGTTTTGACGGACCTTCTTGCTCCTGGTGGACAATCAGGAGTCAGCAGGGACTCATGGGTAGAGGGTTTGGTGGGTGGGAAGGGCACAGGGCAATCGTCCTTGAAGTGGGCTAGGGCCCCAACGATTCTGGCCATGATTAGTGAACCCCACATGAGAAAGGCATTGCCCAGGTTTGCTGCGCACTGGCATCTCCCGGGAGGTGGAGGCATCCTGTCCCCCACCCCTCCCAATGTCGTTGGTTTGGGATGGAGCACCCTCCGGAGGACTCCAAGTACAGGTGACTCTGGACCCCACCCCCACCCCTGTCTCCAGCTCAGGTCTCAACGGTCCACTTCTTCCAGCCACAAGCCCAAGAGGACTTGCTCCAGCCCCGTCTCCACGGCAATGCGTCACAGTGCATCCCTGCTGCCGCCTACCTCCCGGGACTCCCACCCGAGCCAGGCCTGAGGGCGCAGCGGACAGCCTCACCTGCACACGGTTTCCACACTCATGCAGGCCAACCTCAAACCTGACCACGGCGGCCGTGTCCTCCGAGGCCAAGGGCTTACAGTGCTCAGGGCCCAGGGTCAGGTCTGAAGGCCTCACAAGCTTCCCGGTGCCAAAGAGGTTTTTGCTGACAGTGACCACCAGCTGGGCGTCCAGGCACTCCACCAGAACAGGAGGTGAGGGGGGCGTGGGGGGCACGGCAGACTCGGCGCTACCGGTTTCATCATGGAGGAACCAGATGGGGTGGGGGCAGCACAGCTCGGTGCCTCCCCAGAGCAAAAAGCAGATGAAGAGCCCGTAGCTCAGCCCCATGGCGCCTACAGAGCCCCGCCGGCAAAGGACAGAGGGCACCCACCTAGCCATCTTATACTCTGGGATGCCGACCCACTCACACCTGGGCTCCTGCCTGCCTCCCTCCCTTCTCCAGCCAATCCAGTAGGCGAGGCCCTTGTTCCCGAGATTGGCCCCTGGTCCAGCACAATGGGTCTCACCTGGGAGCTTGTTAGTGATGCAGAGCATCTCACCACACCCCCCTACACACCCCCAACCAATTGCATCACAAGCTGCCTTTCTCCAGGTGATTTGAAATCACGATGAAGTTGGAGGAGTGCTGATCTGTCACCCGGGACTTCTGACCTGCTCTCTATTCCAAACACATGTCCAGCCCTGCGCTGGGTCTACGTTCAGGAAGTCCACAGCCCCATTGGGAGCCAACGGCTGCCTGAAACCAGGACAGAGGCCATGAAGAAGGTGACCAGACATCTCGCTTTGGGCGGGACAGTCCAGATTTTCAACAATTTTTCCCGTGTCCCGCGGCATTTTTAAAAAGCTCCGATTTTTGGAAAGAATGCACGATAAGCTAGGGTATCCGGTTTTCGGCTGCCATGTGGCTATTTTGCCAGGATAGGAGTTTTATCAATGGTGTCCTGCTTTTGTCCCGCTTTACCAATGTTAAAATCTGGTCACCTTAGCCATGAATGAAAGTCCAGGTGAGCGTGATCGCGGAGTTGACAGGGAACGCAGTGCCAGGGCGAAGGACAGGAGGGGCTGTCCATTAAGGGTCAGGAAGAATGATGTGAAGAGAAGGCGGGGGAGGGAAGAGAAGGGCTCCGATGGAGGCGGCCATCTGAATGGAGGACGGTTGTCAGGTGCCTTCAAGCGGGTCTGTCCGGACTCCGAGCAACCCGACGTAGAGTGGAATGAAACACCACGAGTCCCAAGACCCCCTCTCAGGGGGGCTGTGTCTGGGCCCATTGCTGTAGTCGCTGTGCCAAGCCTCCCTGTTCAGGATCTTCCTCTTTTGCTCTGACCCTCTGCTTTATCCAGCGTGGTGTCCTTTTTCCAAGGACGGAGCTCTCCTGACATGTCCAAAGGACACAGACGTCTCGCCATCCTTGCCTCCAAGCAAGGCTGTGGCCCTGGGACAGCTTGCTGGGGACACGGAATCCTAGGAGCGGGGCTCACTGGGCAAGGGGCATGGACATGCCTGTTATCTTCAGCTGTGCCTGCCGGTTGTGCTGGGGTTCGGGTGGGGTGGGCTGGGGACCAGAGAGCAGGGCCTCCCTGAAGTTGCTTAGGTGTCTCCTCTCCCTCCCTGCCGTGGAGCTTGAAGGGCTTCAGAGAAGAGAAAAAAACTAAAAGATGGTGGGGGCAGAGGAGTAGGAGAGTGGGGAGTGATTCCCAAGGGTGAGCATATATGGCAGTTACATAATCTGTCAACTTGAGCAAAGGGGTGGAGTCTAGCCTGTCCAATCAGGTCATAGGTAATGAGGCCTCTGTGTGGGTGTGGTCTTCTCCTGAGGATTCTGGGAACTCCTGTCTTCCTCCTGTTGCCAAGTCACATGGACCTACGCTGATGGCAGCCAGAGGCCCGGAGATAGAGGAGCCACATGGAGACCCACGCCAGTGATGAGATGCTTCCACCACCACTGGATCCACAAGACTCTTCACCCACTGGCCTGTGATCTTCCTGCACTCGGCATCATTGTATGCGTTGCATGAGTGTGAAGAGGAATGTATAGACTGGTATTGGACATAGGAGCTAATATTGGACTTAGGGACTTAATCTAGACCGGGCTGGGATGTTTTCTTAATATGCAATCACTCTTTGATACAAAACTCTCTCTTACACACATACGAGTGTCTCTGGATTTGTTTCTCTAGTCAACCCAGACTAACATAGTGTATATGATGGGGTGAGGCTGGGTCAGGATTCCGGGACTGTACCACACCTTGGTGAGCATGTGGAGGGAACCTGTGTGGGAAAGATAACAGGTGCCCTCAGGGTCCATTGTCCATACTCTAGGGGTTTGGGGTCCATTTGGGAAAGATCTCTACCAGGACACCATGTGGAATGTCACTGTGAGCTGAACACCATTCCTTTCCTAGGGCTGCAGTAAGCAACCACCACAGCTGGGGTGGTTTCTTCAAACAGAAATCTCTTGCCTCACAGTTTAAGGCCGAGGAGCCATGGTTCAAGGTGTTGATAAGGCCATGCTCTTTCTGAAAGTTCTAGAAGATTCTCCTTTGTCTTCCCTGGTAGCCCCCAGGCATTCCTTGGCTTGTGGCTGCAGCGTAATTGTTATCACGTGGCCATCTTCCCTCCATCTGTCTCTATGTGTCTTTCTGTCCCTTCTCTTTCATAGGACACTGGTCATCTTAGACTTGAGTCCATCCTCTTTGACTCTATTCTCCTATGAATGTCGCTGAAAACGTTTCCAAACAAGGACAGGCACCAGGGGTTAGGGCTGCAGCCTACATTTGGGAGGGACCCGGTTGTATCCATAACAAGCACTCCTCATGACTCAGTGCAGAGTAGAGATGCAATCACTCTTGCCCAGGCAGGGTTCATAGTTAGGTCAGCCTGGTGCCAAGGCTTGGGCTCGTTCCCCTTGGCCACACCCAGCGTGAGCTAGCGGGAGGAGCACATGGTCTTCTGGGAGATGCAGACATCAAGCCGATCAAATGCACTTCCAGAGTTGCCCTAATGGAGGCAGGTCTAGGCCAGGGCCACAAGGGTGCATAGCGGACAAAACAGCTGGGCTACTGAAGGAAGTCCAGAGAGCCAAGGTCGGGAGAGGTGGAAGCCGGCTGGCTTTGTGGGCAGCTGGGTGATCCCTCCAAGAGGAATCTGCTCGGGAAGACATAGGTGAGAGAGGCTCGCATACTGAGGACACTGTGAGTAGGTGGTTAATATGGCTAGTTCTCTA